TTTCAATAGGATTGTATTGATTTTCTTCCATGCTATGATAGCCCAACGTAGCCTCTTCAAAATGAGAGTCAAGCGAGACCTTGGTTTTCCGCGGCTCGGGTGTTGTGTCGGATTTCTTGCGAGTCCCAGGACTGACACCCGATGACTGTTGGTAGCCTTGAAAACGGATGGACTATGGGTAATCAACTATGCTGAGTCTTGTGGCAATATTTGTTTCTAGAAAAAGTTCTAAAATCTACCGAAAAGCCAGTTTTGAAAGTTTGGGTTTTCGGGCTGTTTTCACCTATTAACAAATTCACTACTCACTCAATAAACATCAGAACGGGTTCAAAACTTCAGAATATGGTCAATTTTCTCCGCTAAACGTGATTATAAGATCGAAAAAATCGAAAAACCATATTTGCGTTAATGGGTTTTCCAGAAACCCTTTTGGAAAACCTTAGGGTTTGTAAACTCTCTTTTAAGATCTCCTATAAATAGGATATACAATCGCTTAAATGCTCTACATTCTGGTGTTATTCTTAATCAGCTCGTTAAACTGAATCTGAATATGTATAATAAAGTCAAAAAAAAATTCCACTCGATTTTTGCATTAGCTGCACCTTACGCTTTATAAAACGCATTTATGGCAAAACTTCAGTTTTACTTAAGTGTAACTGAACGTCAACTTAGTTTTTCTCTTAAGTCAACGACTTAAGTCGAACTTAAGTTTTTCTATAAAAGTGACTCCCGAATTCTCGTTCTTTCCGTTCTTGAGTTATTCAACAAACAGTCGCAGGCCTCATAATTTGAAAACGATAGTAGACATTTCAGCAGGACAAAATGCTCAAAAGAAAATGTTCGTAGGATTTAAAGTTTTCTGGTAGAAATATTCATCCACGAACAAGTTAGGAAATCTTTTGAATATATTGACATTCATTCTCTGACCTTTTCGCGTTTCTTATAAAACTAAGTATATTTAATATAACTGAAAAACATTTTTGTAAAATGATTTTACATAAAAAGCGAGCTTTCGATACTTCACAGTATCATCGTTTTCAATTACATTAAATATACTTAGAAATCTTTTGAATATTCTTCTGAAAATAAAATTTTCGTGTATTAATTTACCGAAAAGTGATACTAATTTTATGAATATTCCTATTCTCAGCAATACGGATGTAACAATACCAATACTTCTAATACCAATACCATTTGGTATTGCTGGTATTAGTATTGGTCGGTATTGGTATTGGTATCTATAAGTACGCAGCTTGTAGGAAATTCGAAGTTTAGAAAAGCAGTATTACATTATAACATTGGTTGCACGTACATGAAAATGTACTCACTGTTTGTCAACCAAAGTTTCAAAAGAAATACGAATAAATTGTTTTTCTTCGTGTTTTTCTGTTTTATTTACAGGTCAAACTGGTAGGAGTAGTTTCTCTTCCTGCGTTTCGGTCTATTGACCGTAATTGTCTCTGAAGCGCGGACGCAAGTCCGGCTATGGAATAGCGCTGACCAACATAACTTTGACACTGATACTGAATAGAACATCAAAATAGTTGGAAATTAGGTAAAATCGTCATAAAGTGATATGAAGAGTAATATATCTTAGTCGATATATTAAAAATCATCAAGGCTAAATAACTATATCCCACTTACGTCAATGTATGGTGCGTCATACCTAAGAACCAATCGATCAGTTAAATAATTCATGTAGAGCACGTTTTCAACATGTGAATGCTTTTAATTCAATGTAAATCTATGTATGAATAGTTATCCCTTATTTCTTACATTCTACTGAGGCAAATAATTCACGTATGTGTTTTTTAAAAATCATTACCATTGCGATAAATAACATAGCATCTGTTTTAGTCCGAGGCACAGACGAATTTAGTAAACATGTGTTCACAAAATTAATCATAGTTTATTTTCAATTTCGGCACAAACTGCATATTTCACAATAAACAAAAGCACAAGATAGAAAAAACAGTCTTTTTTTATCTGAAAAACTTGAAAATTCATTGCGACGTCGAAAAACGAATCTCTTATGTTTCACAGTAAAAATTGCTAGATATGATAATGGCAGATTAAATGAATAAGAAACTTCAGAATAAGCAAATATTTATCTCTACAGAAAAAAAACTTTTATTTAATTTATGCGATTTTATCCTTCAAAAACATCGTAAAACTCAAATTATCAGCACTTAAACGTGCTCTCTCTTTCCTGGCAACATATGCTGAAATTGAAAAAGCTGATTCACAAGCAATATTTGTCCCTGGTGTTGATAGATAGACTCTAGCAAGCTGTGACAAAACTGGAAAATCATTATAGTATTTTTTCCAGAGGTTTATAGATGCACTTGCTGTTGGTTTTTGACGACTACAGAAGTCAATAGCACATTTTTTGTAATTTACTAGTTCTTCATCAAGTGTTAATCTTGCGCTGTTTACCTTTTGACTATCGCTAATTTGAGATTCTTCACAAGCAAGTAAAAATTCATCAAGTGTTGATGGTTTTGGCTCGATTTTTGATGATGATGATGAAGTAGCTGTCGTTGTTGATAATGATGACGAGGAGGAGGAAGCAGCTCCTGTTGTTGATGAAGATAATGATGAAGTAATTGTTGAAGTCGGTGTTGTTGTTGCCGAAACTTGATTTTGATAATTTATTTCATTTCGAATAATATCATTGATTTCATTTTCGATATGTTGAATATCAATTTCATTGAGAACTGAGAAGCCAAGTGGATCAAAAAAAGCATATTTCTAAAAGTAGAAAATTTTTATATACGAAGTGTATGAATGCGCTGAATTCATAATGGTGAAAAATCCGAAATGCTACATTTATACTGCGACGTATCTGAACTTGATATGCACCGACACTATAAGCGTATATCCACAGAAATTTACAATGTGTTTCACTTTATATCTTGGGAACA